TGATAACGAAAAAAATAGTATCAAGTGCCGCAGGTCTTCATTTAGATTTTCTTTTTGATTTAATATCCATAACTCTAGCTAATGGTTCATCCATAATCATATCATAAATCATTAAACATGGTTGATGTTCAAATAAACGATTACGTTCCCATATAAATTCACAAAATTGACCATTATCAGTTTGATGTTCAACAGTTATTTTCCAAAATGGTTCACGTATAAAATTTTCACGTTGAAGATAACGTTCAACAATAAAATCTAATGTTGGAAATTGACATGGACCATAACTAAAAATTTGTTTTGAATCAAAACCAAATAAACGATGTAAACGTAATGTTTGAAAACGTGTAAATGCTGCACCAATACGTAAATCAAGTTCTTGACGAACATCAACAGCAGCACTAATACGTTCATCGGGTTGTATTAAATTTGATAGAGCACGTACAGCACTCTCATATGTTATTTCAGAAAAACGAGCACGACAAATTTTTAAACCATTTTTTAATGGTCGACATACATTCATTATTTCATATCCAATATTTTCTCCTTCACGATCACAATCAGTCCAAATAATTAATGTTTGACATTTGACTATTTCACGTTTTAATGTTTTCTATAATAAAATAAGATTTTTCTTTTAGTTTTTTAAAAAATAAAAAATTTCATTATACTTCAATATCAGTTGCTCGATCAGTTACTCTTTTTTGAACTGGAGCATCAAATAAAACAACAGGATCAACTTGTGCCCTAAAATTTATCGAGATTTCGTAATTCAATTTGAACTGATAATGGAATGTATTCACAGTGAATTCTGCCACTAGCATAGGATCTCTTCAAATGTGGCACGCACGAATATGCAGTGCGTTCATCAGATATTAGGACCATGGAAGCATGTTTTTCGTGTATAGAACTTGAAGAATGTTTTCAAAGTAAGTTTTCTATTAGCTACTTGTCAAGATTTTACTCATTCATCCATGGACAACTTTCCGTAAAAGCTGTTCTTCTGTAGAAACTTATCCATAACTTTATCAATCCTACTTTAATTTCTTCATTGTCGATGGCAAGACTTTACATGCCATTGTGACAATATCGAAGGTTTTAGTGAAAACTTCTTCCCCGATCCAGTATTGAACCGGACCCTTCATATTGAATTGATTTTAGACTCAAGAAAGATTAGTCACTAGTGTGAAAACTACTTTAAAAAAGAAACAAACTTTTTCAGAATTCTAATAAACAGTTTTGTTTTCATACCAACTATTATGCGCCGCTGTAAAATCACAATTCATAATATGACCAGAAACAGATGTAAAACTCATTTGTACTTTTTGATTAAAAATTTGGTAATTAAATTCATAAATTTTATTATATCTTGAAAAACCTTCACGCTAGACAGAAAAAACTCTATAAATATAAACCTAATTGAAAATCTAAATTTATTTTACCATAGATGCTGAATTTCTTGAAAGAAGACGAGCTAATTATTTAGCTGCATCATTCTTTTCTGCAACATTAAGCACACGATGCATAACTTTTTTAAATAAAATTGCAGTTAATCTCATTTAGTCATCTAAAATTAAAACTAATTATAATACTCAAGTTTTATTAAAATTCAATTATATGCATACCAGGTCCATTCGTTTGACATGAATATATTTGTTTTATTCCATATGATCCAGCATGAACAACATTATCTTTATTTTGACTACATAATTCACGTAAATTTGAAATAAGTTTATCATAAAATTCAAGATCAATATCTCGATTTATATTATTATGATATTCAAAAAACGATGTCCATTAAGATGACCACCTAATGTTGCTTGTGGAATAATTAAAAGATCACCAGGTAAATCAACAATTGTTTTTAATCCATCATCACTTTCACATAATCATATTGTAGCTATTTCTTTTGCTAAATTTTCCAATAAATCAATTTTTAATAACAAATAATTTTTTCTTTTCTTTTCATACCTAATTTAATCCCATCATCCATTGAGCATCTTTTAAAAAAAGCCACAAATATAATCATACCACGATTAATCTTTAAATAACAAATAAATCTTTTTTTTTCTCCAATTCAATCAACTTACAGTAACTTCTGATTCATCTTGAAGACGTAATGTAGCTTTTGTACATTGTTGTAATAAACAACGAACTCGAATAGTTGACATCAATCCAGAAAAGAAAAAATATAACAAATAAAGGAAAATAAATATTTTTATGCATATCTATTTATTTGTTTTTTTAGGAAATGTTTTATTCAAAATATACTATATAATTGGGACAAAACTTTTTAAAGCTTTTCAATCAAAATACTTGATGCTCCACCACCACCATTACATATAGCAGCAACACCTTTTTCACCTGTTTTTAGACTATGACATAAATGTACGACAATTCTTGCACCAGACATTCCAATCTGTAGAGAAATAAAAAATAATAATAATGTAATTGAGAGAAGTTGTTTTTTTTAATACTAACTGGATGTCCAAGTGCAACAGCACCACCATGTACATTCATTTTATCAAGACTAAGACCAAGTAATTTTGCATTAGCTAATGCAACAGCACTAAATGCTTCATTAAATTTCCATAAAGCAATATCATTTTTATCAACTTTTGCAAGTTTCAAAAGCTAGATGAATTTAATTAAATAGATACATAGACACATAAAAACAAAAATTATTTTCTATACCTTTGAAATAGCTAAAGCAGGTGCTATACTGAAATCAACGGGAGCAGTTGCAGCATCCGCAAAAGCTTAAAAAAATCAGATCAATTAGTTAAAAGTCAAAGATCATTCTATTCATCTAAGATTTCTAGCATAGATTCTAACTAGTTTAAATGAAACTCAAACAGGCTAACATGATATTTGAATAGAAGATACGATTATTCATCTCTCTGATAATATATCTTAAATTTATAATAATCAGAATTGATGAGTTCCACAATATGATAATTTAATGTGAAACCTTTCATCGTTCAATACGTGTTACACGGACAAAAGCTCTACAACTTACAAATAAAATCTGATTTTATACATGAACTGTTTGTTTAGGAAAACTTCGATTCAACCTATTATCTTTGTATTAATCATTGATGCATATATAAAATAAACTTTTCTTCTTATAGTCAATTCATTCAATGAAAATGATAAGGTTTATTCGAGAATGAAAGTTTTCTGATTTGATTCTTTTCTAAGCCTTTTCTCATGCGTTATACAGTCGGAGACAACAGTTTAAGTGAAATTACTTTTTTCAGTATTTTTTTTTCATATTATGACGTACGAGTCTGATTCAAATAATGATATAGATAGTATGAGAGATCAACTACATGATGTATTATAGAACGAGATTTCTATCTGCCTATATAAATTATTCATAATTCAAATAGTTTTTTTTCTATACAAAAACAGGTATGAGTACCATTCAGTATTTCGTATTTCCTAACCAAGAGATTAAAGCTAAAATGGAATCAAATTATATCAATTGATAGAAAAAGATTTGTTCCCAGAGTCGATCTTCACCTTGGAAACTTGATTTTCATAAGAATAGTCAGCAGAAACGGAAAAAATAAATTAACTCCCACACACTCTCTCTTATTAGAATGCTTTATACACCGTTGGAAAGAGCATTCAAAATTGAACAAAATATTTTATTTGAAAAGAGACTGTCATTGATTTTTCACGGCCATCTTATTGAAAAATAGTTTTGAGAATCAAAATTAGCTTTTCTTTTTTAATTATTTTGACGAGAGAAAAATGCTGAATTTTCTCACTAAAATCAAGTTTCGAAGGTGAAGATCGACTCTGGGAAAAAAATCTTTTTTTATCAACTGATAGAGCGTGAAATGCTCTATCGATTAATTTAATTTTGTTTCATTTTAGCTTAAATCTCTTGGTTAGGAAATACGAAATACTGACAGGTACGCAAACCTGTTTTTGCATAGAAAAAAACTATTTTAATTATGAAAAATCTATATAGACAGATAGAGTCTCGTTCTATAATACATCATGTAGTCGACCTCTCATACTATCTATATCATCATTTGAATCAGACCCATACCTCATAATATGAAAAAAAATACTGAAAAACTAATTTCACTTAAATTTTTGTCTCCGACTGTAGATCAAATAAAATTTTTACCAATGATTCGTGCTAATGGTTTACAACCAAGTTCATCAGCAGCTTGACGTGTTGTCATTAAAAGACAAGCAGCTGCACCATCATTAATTTTTGATGCATTTGCTGCTGTTATTGTTCCATCTTTTAGAAACGCAGTTCTTAACTAATAAGAAAAAAACAACATATTTAAATTCGTCTGAAAATAATTTTTGTAACTTACTGTTTTCATTTTTTCAAAATCAACTTTTTTATATTCTTCATCTTCTTTTACAATAACTTCACCTTTTTTTGTTGTAACAGTTACAGGAACAATTTCAGCATTATATTTTCCTTCTTTTCATGCTTTAGCTGTTCGTTCATAAGATTGCTTAGCAAAAGCATCTTGATCTGCACGAGTAATATTTTCTTTTTTTGAAGTTTTTTCTGCACATAAACCCTAGAATTTCTTTTGAATATAAATATAAAAATCATCATTTTAAATTTACCATTGGAATTCGATCATAAGCATCAGTTAAACCTAGGGATGTGCGGTGTCAGTGACAAAACCGAAAAAACTGACACTTTTGTCACCGCCAGCGACGCTCAGTGCACACCGATAGACCCAGTGTCACTGAGCATTAAAATATCAAACACTAGTGGCGGAGCCAGGATTTTTTGAGGTGGTGGATCTCAGTTTTAAAGCATGGGTCCCAGTTGAAACATATGGGGGATAATATTGGCTTCAAATGATGAGTTTCTATCAACTNAAAGGTAAGATGAAATGTATAGTAGAGATATTTGACATTACTATTGTTGTCTGATAGATTCTAGTATAAAGCGGTTAAAAACATCTTTTTCTTCTGATAATAATTGGTTTTATTAAAATTTACTAATCAGTGAGAAGATCTATATATTTTTGCTATCGTTTTCAAGCGAGTAAGGCATATGAACCAGAGATGAGCACAGGACAAAATTTTCTCTCCTGTCCTGCTAACTATCTCGGTTCTAGCGGGCGGCAGGACAGGATAAAAATCAAAATCTTGTCCTGTCCTGTTTTTGTCCTGCTAACTTTTTTGTCCTGGCGGGCGGCAGGACAAAACGTCACGATTTCTGCCGTGTTTCTACCAATTAAATCCGTTTTCACAAGTTATAAAATGCCAAGAGTGAGGTTTACTTTTACTTTCATTGTACAAAGCAAATATCACCAATTAATATTTTCTAACTAATGCATTTTATATAGTTTTCAAGAAAAAAATATATTAGGGATGAGCACAGGACAAGGATTTTTTACCTGTCCTGCTAACTTTTCTGTTCTGGCGGACGGCAGGACAGGACAAAAATAAAAATCTCGTCCTGTCCTACAGGACAGGACAGGACAACAGGACCGTCCTGTGTCCTGTGCTCATCTCTGATATGAACTTAGATTTCCGAGAATTAAGGAGAAGCTACAGAGACACATCTTTTGGCGAAATACTATGGACAAAACTTCATTATGTTACGCTAGGGCAGGTGGTTAATATATATTAATGTCAAATATCTCTACTATACATTTCATCTTACCTTTGTTTTTTTCTTTATAATATTCTTTCAACGTTTGAAATAGAATATGATGAAAGAATCTAAGAATAGCATGATCTTCGATATATATTCACATCCTTTATTACTAATAGAAGCACTAGAACAAAAATAGTAAAGAAGATAAATTTGAGATTTTTCTCTCGAACATTTATTCTTCTCGTATACTTTCATCTTTCAATTATATTATTCATTGAGTCATTCCTACAGTTAATAATATTTTCTGAATAAAGTATATTCGAGCATTTAATCATGACTAATAAACTACAAGTTAGAAAAACTTTTTTTATAATATGTGTCTTTTTAAACAAGTGGGACACTTTAGTTTTTCAGGTCTCAATTATCTCATTATAGAATATCTTGTTCGTATGTCTAAGAACAAACCTTATAAAATATGATTATCTTCTTTATTATATAAATATTATTTGTAATTGACGCTAAATCTTCTATAAAGACATCTATTGAAGCAACATAGATGGTTCTTAAATGTAATAAAATAAAATTTTTAGGAATAAACTATTGTCGATATTTCATTCATATAAATTAATGTATTATAACAATCTTAATAGTTTCTATCTTATTAGAAGGAAATACTATTATTTACCTTTTAACCTCATTTATAAGACTCAAATATTTTCTTCGATTTTGCAATAATTCTTTCTGTCACTATAACAAGTCAATATGTATGTAATTAATCTAATGAAGTCTTCCAAAGAAAGCAAAGTATTTGCATGGTTTATTTCATTTTCTTAGAACGACGATATATTTATATCAATGAACAGTTGTTCTATGTCTTAAATGTTTTTATGACAGATCAATAATTATTATTATTCATTCTTTGATTTGCTTTGATATATTCCAAACAAAGGTTGATCATAATTATTCCTATTAGAAGATCGAACGTTGATAAAAGTGCATTTCTTTAGAAAAGTGTAAGCCTTCAATAGATCTTACCTTTCTGTCAAGAGAAAAACGAGTGCAATTGATGGACAGGTTGGTACGTGCTTTCTTATTTAAGAAATTCTTCTCACTAATACTTTTCTAATAAAATAAAAGTAGATGGTTTTTTTAAACTTACAAGGAAGAGAATATACACTTCATAACCTCATTTACTTTCTATATTATAATACAAACTATCTCTGAAAAGATTATCAAGACTAAAATAACAAATAGAACTAAATGAACGATAGATTAGACTTTATAAACAAGAAAGAAAGAAATCTATTCTATTTGCTCGTAACGTAATAAATAGAGCAACAGTGTTCTTTACGTCTAGAAGGAGTAATTATGCACTATATTTATATAGAACAAATAGTTTTTGTTAAATAGAACTATCTGACGTTTTCATTTGAGAAAGAATTTTTAACTTTTTTTTTTAATAGTAATGAAGAATTTCATTTTGAGATAATATGTTTTCTTTTCTATTAATTAGAAAATGTCCAACAATCATATAAAACTCATTAAGTTTGAATGTGTTTCTTGCATCATCTTATACATAGATGAGATTTTTTTTTTTCTTAGTTTTCCATATAGGTAGTGAATATCATTGAGATCATATGAAGTGTTCAAAAATACAACTACTTCTCTTACAATCAGTTTTTTGTTTTCTAGCAAGGTTAGTTTATATCTTTCAATCCTAACTTTGTCCACAAGCAAATATTTAAATATCTAAAATGATTGCAATACAGAAATGTGAATGATCTTTTCCTACGAAACTTTAAAAAAAAAAATAAATGTTTAGGGTACTTTATTTTGATCAATATTTTCTTACAGTTCGAGCAGTTGAATTAAACATCTGAATATTGTTTCAACAGGAATAAATTATTGCGTCTTATGATGACATAAATCAGCAACATCACTAGAATTTGCTGGTGATGTTTATGTTATGAATCATTCATTTAATTTCTTTGTACTTTATTTGATTTGTAATATACTAATGAGATGAAGGTAAAGAAATATAACAAAAGCGTTCATAATCACAAGCAGATCATTGGTGACAATTCGAGAAATGTTATTGTAGAATGTTATGGCTATCTCACATCTATCTCCTTGTAAATTATACTAGATGAAATAATAAGCAAGAAATCAATTTAGACAATTTCAATTATGATTTTTACTTGATGAATTTTAGTTAATAAAAAGTTATGCGAGTAAAAATAGAGATGATGTTTCGAGATTATTTTATCGTTTAGAAAACATATCCAATTTACATCGTTCGAATATCAATTTATAATATGATTGCATCATTCGAAATTGCTCACACTAACATCAATGGCTTTTTCGATATTTTATGTGAGATGAGATTATTGAGAGTGAGGGATGAAGATAAGGTCGAGGGTAATCACCTTCTCTCCAATTATTTTCACTGTCGCACGCACCATCACCCATCCTCACTTATCCTGACAAGTTTTCTATAACAGTCGAGGTTTGAAAACCTTACACTTGATTTTCAGCTCTTCACTATGTGTAACACTCCTAGAATTTTTGTTAGCACAGAAACCTTTAATGCATTTTCCGATCCAGTATTTCATAAATCATTATGAATATCTTTTTCAAGCTGCACAAAAATTCAGAAATTCTTGTTCAAAAACCCTGAAAATATTTCAAGCAGTAACCAAATCGGACATATGTTCAGTGTTTCTAAAAGAACTTTTTTTTCGTAGTGTGGTGAGACAGACGACTGGAACTGAGATCAATAAAATCGCAAAAAATAGAAAGCTATAAACAAGAATATAGCTTGAACAGTCAATGCACGTGAAGCAATGAGTAATCTTGAATATGACCGAATGATCTTGTTTATTCGCAAGAAAGTAGGTAATTACGTTTTATTAAGATATAATTTAGATTGTTCAATGCTTAAACTTGATCGTCGATTGGAACAATGTAACTTGTATTGATGTACAGAAGCCGGCATTGTACTTGTCACTGTTGCTTCTGAAACTAAACATGTAAACGAGAATGTTTGCATGATTTTACTTTATAATAATCGGTTCACATGAGCAACGATCAATTTTACTCAATCACAGATTCGAAACTTTTGCTTGCACCTGGAAGTTGTCTTCAGCTTGTTAATGTCTGAAAAAACATTTCAGCAATATTCCGTCTCTTTCTTTTGAGAATGTCTGCTGAAAAGATTTCTTTTCTATTGTCATCATATATAAGTCTTACAAGATCTTATTGAAAAATTGTCCCAAAGATCCGAACGGTCTGATAAGAGATCTTCGATAAGACAAAAAGATGATTTTATATCTAAAACAACATGTCCTACAAGATGGAATGGATTTTACACAAATCTAAGATTTTATTTGAGCAGTGACCTCCATACACTGGCTGATAAACAGCCATGATTGATTCAAAAAAAGCTGTCATTTAGCTTATCATGCTTCCGAATGAAGAGGATATTGGCATAAACGCAGAGGGGCACTGTGACCAGACTAAACTTGTCGAGTAGACAAATCACATTAGTTGCATTTTTGGATTCGTTCTTATAATAATCTTTGCAGATGTCCAAGAATTTATTTCGCTGTTGAATATCCACAAATTGTTCGCAATGAAAGCTCGTGCGCTGTATATAGTCGTCACACATCGAATGTTTAACGCAATAGAGAAGCCCCATCATGATGGAGGATTACTTTCGAATCAGTTCGGTCCTGGTCGATCCCAAGAAGATTGACT